GAAGCCCCAAATCACCTTCTGTCACATCACTCCATCCTAATTTTCTCCATAGCACTTACATCATCTGATGTTTTCTCCATTGCTTTATTTAGGCATTTGTTTCTCCACGGTATTCCTCCACCGGAATGTTAACCTTTTGGGAATAGCACCTTATGTGACTCTGAAGCCCAGAGCATAGAATAGTACTTGAGACATAGTTTGTTGAATATTAATGAATGAAAGGCAGAGACTAGAGACAGGGAAATTAGTTACAAAACTCTGCAAGGATAACCTGGCATAAGACTCTGAGGGCCCCCAGAATAGTTCCTTAGAAACAGAAATATAATAAATTCAGAAAACTTTCTTTGTATTTTACAAGCATCTCAAACTCAGCACAAGCAACAGCACAGAACATCTTCCTCTTTATCCACTCAAACCTGCTCCTCCTCCTGACCTCCCCCTCAAAAAACTGCACCATCTACTGCACCCACTGTCTAACAGACCACCCAAACGAGGGAAAAAAACTGGAGAGACAAGATAGGTTTGTTTGTAATGCCTGAACTTCCTGATGTCTAGGGTGAAATACCCCAACTAGTCTCAGGAAGAAATGAGCTTCTGAAGAACTGAGAAAGCTTCCTATGGCTCCTAAATCACCCTCCAGCGGGATCCTGGGTCGAGCACCCACAAGAGGCAGCCTGTGGAGCCAGCACAGAGGAATTATGGAGGTCTTGGGTCAGGAAGTCTCTGGGCTCTCCCCACTGCACCCTCCTCCATCCTAAGTCGGATCTCTACATCTCCCGCCCAGCCTCCATCTTTTCCCCTGCCCTTGAGTGAGGTGAGTCTTCACTGCGTCTGGGTGAGTTTTTAAAATGGAACACCTCCACTGTTAGATCACTGACAACGTGAGACTATGGAAACATAAAGCGAGGAGCAAACATATTGCGTTTTGTGAAACCAACACTTTCCTTTCGGCTCTACTCATCACAGCGCTTCTCTACAGCGGTGCGCCACACAGCCCGCAGAGGTGCCCGCTAGGTGGCGCTCGTCCTCCACTGTACCCAGGCGGGACCCGGAGTCCATACAGTTCTTTTTAAACTGGAGAGGCGATAGCCAACCCTCGCTTTTACAGGTAAGAAAACTAAGCTCCAAAGGGAAAGTGTCTTCTCCGAGGTCGTATCGCTGCAGCTTCGAGCAAAACCCATGTCCCTATATTTCTGAACACAACGATCTTCCATCATCTGGCTGTCTCCCTCTATACACGGTTTAGTTCATTGATTATAAAAATAACGGTGTGTTTCTTTCTGCACAACATGGTTTAGGTTCAGATCCGCAGGCCTTAGCGTCCTTTATTTTCAAATGCACCGAACAGAAAAAACCGTTAGACTTGCCTGCCTGAATTCTTTCTTTGATTTCCTTAAGTTCCCAGCTCCTTTTCTGATGAATGCGTAGCACAGAAATTAGTAAGGAAGACAATGGAAAACATTTAATGAGAATAAACGTAAAGGTTAATGAGAAAAACCGATTAGAGCCGAAAATCCAACTGAGTTGGCATTAGACAAAGTCAGATTTAAATCCTGATTTACCGGCTTACTGATGGTCAAGTCATTTAAACTCCGTGAGTCTCGGTTTCTCATCTGTAAAATGGGGATAATAATGTCTTCTGCCCACCCCACCCTCAAGATTGTGTAGATTAAATAAAACAATAGTCTGCGGCTCCTGGCACATTTGGTGAGCAACGTTTGTTTAACTATAAAACTACCTTGGCCCAAAATAATGCTTCTCTGCGCAGTCTGATATACCTGGACCATGTGCGTGAAAAATCCTGGTGGAACGGATAACTTAGGATCCCAGGAGCTGTGGTCTGCTCGCGAGAAAGTGGCGTGTCGCTTGACGCTTGGGATGCTTGGAGCACCGTCGGGAGCCTGCGGATGGTGGCGGCCAGCCCCGGGAGCGGCCTCTGCCTAGACCTGGCTCCGGCGAGCCTGCACTGGCGCCCCCTCCCCGACCGCCAGCTCGCGCAGTTCAGCAGCGGCCTCGGAGGGCACCGAGTACAAACCCTGGTTTTAAAGGACTGGAAACTGTGGCCCAGAGAAGGCAGGTGATTTCGGTCAAGGTCACAGGCGTCTGAGAGACGAGTCCCGCGTGGCCTCCAGTTGAACAGCAGCCTCTGGCGCGCGCCCTCAGGTCGCTCCGGGCACAGAAGGCGGTCTCCTCCCAGCAAGACAGGACTGCCGAGGGCGCAGGTGGAGAGCGGCAGGGGCGCGGCGCTCGGTGGCCGCACCGGAAAATCTCGGCGGATTTGGGTCCCCTGGAGCGCGGGCGCGTGCACAGCAGCTTCAGGCTCGCGCCCGAGAGCCGGGGTTTCCCCGTCTCCGGACCCCTCGGCTCTCCCACTCTCACCCCACGCTCCGCTTGTGGCCCGCGGAAGCCTCACCGCCCAGCAGCGCCTCGGACCCGGGCTGTACCGGGGGCGGGAGGGCGCGGCACGTAGGGGGCGCGCAGGAACCAAACTGCGGATGAGAAAGAAGAGACGGGGGAGGAAGAAACAGGGGAGGAGAGGACGACTAGGCAAGGGCAGGGCGAGGGGCTGGGGAAGAAGGCACGCGCGGAGCGAGGCCGGCGCCGGGGCTCCCCGGCTGCGCTGATTCCCGGGGACCGGCCCAGGCCGGAGCGCGGCGCCGACTGAATGTCAGGCGCCGTCAGGCAGTCTCGCGGTTCCAGGAGCTCGCGACCACACCAGGAGCAATTACCGTCAATGGGCTGGAAGCGGGGCCCCGGCACGTCCGCGCGGACGCCCCCTGTCCCAGACGATCTCCGGCCTTGCGATACGCGCTGACCTGCTGAGCACTAGCCGCACACGCTCACTCACTGGCCTTGACTCTGCGCGTACCCAGGGAAATCTCTATGCATCCGACCACCTCCACTCACGGTCCCCTAAAGCCTTTTCGTCCCCACCCAACCCCTATTAGGAGCAGCTTCTAGTTGTAGCTCTAGCCCGGTGTGTTTATCCTCCGCCAACACCCAGCTCCCGGCCCTGCCTGCAGCCGTTCACCAGACCTAAAGATCCACCAACCGCCACTGTTGCCCGAGATGACACCCGCCTCCTGAGGACTCGGTATGCGGCCACTTTCCTACACCCCAGGCACGCAAAGAAACGGACAACTCAAGATCACCATCACCGAACCGCATCTTTCCATGCTTTAAAATCCTCTGCCCAAGCCTGTGGCAAAGGGCATATCTTGCTGTTTGAAAGGGCAACTAAATGGTGGTTATTATTTTCAAGTAAGTCTTTGTACAGCCCCCAAACTTACTCCAATAAACATTCAACCTGCAAATATCTCTGCCTGCCTAGGTGTCCGAAACTCACTCTACTAGTTGTCCACACCAAGCCCTAACCCCACAAATGGATAGCTGTCTGTGACACACGTTCACACCTGCCCATCTCTCACCTTCTGGGCGATCTGTGTCTATCTCCTCCTGGACTCGCCCCCAGAGAATAAGGACAAATTGTCTAAAGTGGTGGGGTAGGAGGTAATTTGAAGAATAAATAAAGGTCAGCGGGAGGAAGGAAAGAACACGCTTTCTTTTGAAACCTCGTAAGCATTCTGTTCTGTTGCCCTCCCGGCCCGAAGAGCGTCTCGTTCCTTACACTTGCCGGGTACTAACGCCAAATTTAAACACCTTTCCCTGAAAACTGATGTAACCTTAGATAGCTATAAAGGGCAATGACCTCTTCAAGTGTGAGTAGTGCATTGGGGATGCAAAAAAGCATCATGTGGCTGAAATACTGGAAAGTATAGATACTGGAAAGTATGAATAGTGCGTGTATTTCAGTGTGCCGTGCAGAATGAGAACCACCAAAAGGAAAGAAACAAGGGGAAATGTTATTTATTTTAGTGACATCAAAAACACCAACCCCAGCAATTTACTAAATTAAAATCACAGTTCTTTAAACTTATTTAATTGTTAAAGTTGTGTATTTGTTGCTAGGTTAAACCTCTGGTAAAATTTATGGACGATAGTAAAGAATGTCACTTGAGCAAATTTTTTATTTAAAAATAAATAACATAAATAAGTAACAAATGTTTTGATATCCCCATAATATTTGTGTTTTTTTATTTTGGTTCCTTCTATTACATAAAACAATGCATTTCTTATTTTTCTAAAAGTATTTAATGTCGTCAGTTCGGGATCATTACCATGGTAATTCCCAGATATCCTTTTAAACAAGCTCACAGCTTTTTCTAATCTTATTCAACTCACAAGTAACAGAATATTTAAGGAACAAATTGAAAGGGCTTTTGCTTTCTTCCTGGTGTAAAGTTTAACAAACTCCAATTAAATTCTGTATTGGCCACCCAGGGAAAGGACCATGCAATTTCCAGAAACTCTCCCAAAGATGCCTTCCAATTTCTCGCCTGACTTTGGTTCTAACTCTACCATCTTTTCCTTTTTCAGTCCTCTATAGAACTCGAATCAAATCAAACAATGAGGAAAGAAAAATATTCCTAGAGTACTTTTAGGTAACTGATTATTTCAGCGAATAGACGTGCGGAAGCCGCGAAATTGTAAGGGGGATAAAAGATGCATTTTGTTCTTCGCATCAATGAACCTTCCTAGAGAACAGAAACTGCGCGCGCGATTTATGGAACAGCGTTATCTTGGACTTTCCCGGCAGTTTCTGACGCAACGAAATATCGTGTTCCATAAAAGCAGTGGAATACGTTGATAACGTCTGCAGATAAGAAACGTGGTTTCTCGGGCAGCGTGTCTGGATAGGTGAATCTCCCTGTTGCTGGAGGATGCTTCGACGACCAGGCATGGGAGGGAAGGGGTTAAGTCAGACCCCGACTTTCTCAGCTCAAAGTGCAGACTTCTGTCTGTTAGAGTCAACGTCGCCCAGCTGGAGCCAGCCAATGGGCTGCCGGGAGCGCCCGGGACAGCCCAGTGAGGGGGCGTGGCCTGCGGCTGTCACTCAGTGGTGAGGAATGACACCCGAGCGGGAGGGGGGTACGGTGGAACGCTGGGGAAGGAAAGAGAGAAGAAACAGATAAAACCAGGGCAGGGGGTAAAAAGGTGCCCCGCGCCTCTCGGAATCCAGCGGCCGCTGTCGCCGCCGCCGCTGCGACCGGGGGTGGGCTCCGGAAGAGCCGGCCCGGCAGGGGAGAGGACAAGCCAGAAGCGAAATCCTGCAGGCGAGGAAGAGAGAGAGGCGCAAAGAAAAAGTGACTCCGGCCGTGCGCCCCGGAGGCGCTCAGGAGGGGACTGCAGCCGCGAAGGGGCCCCTGCCGATCCTCCCCCTACGTCCTCGGAGGGGGCAGACCCCGGCCCGCCCCTAGGGGCGCGAGGCGATGAGATAATCCAGCTGAGCTGAGAAAGGAGAGCGTCTGGCGCTGGATTGGGGGGAGGAGGGTCTCCGGGTGGGGTGGGCCTCGGAAGTGGGGGTGAGGGTCGGCGCTGATCCCCGGCCAGAGGGGGGCGGGGGCTGCTGGGCCGCGCCGGAGTGGGCTGCAGGGACCTCGCGCGCGGGGCTCACTCGCGCTGCGGCGGCCCGCGCGCTCCGTCCAGCTCGGAGCTGCCCCGCGCCCCAGCCGCCTGCCCAGCCAGTCGCTCCGGCCCGCGGCGCAGATGGCTGTGCGCGGCGCCAACACCTTGACGCCCTTCTCCATCCAGGCGATCCTCAACAAGAAAGAGGAGCGCGGCGGGCTGCCCGCGCCGGAGGGGCGCCCGGTCCCCGGGGGCACAGCGGTGGCAGTGGCTGCTGCGCCCGCTGTCTGCTGCTGGCGGCTCTTTGGGGAAACAGACGCCGGCGCGCTGGGGGGCACCGAGGACTCTCTGCTGGCGTCGGCTGCCGGGACCAGAACGACTGCGGGGCGGACCGCGGAAAGCCTGGGCGGCTGGGACTCGGACTCCGCGCTGAGCGAGGAGAACGAGGGCGGGCGGCGCTCCGCGGACGCGCCGGGGGCCAGCGGGACAGGCCGTGCGGGGGGGACCCTGGGCCTCGGCCAGCCGGTCTGCGAGCTGCCCGCCGCCAAGGACCTGGAAGAGGAAGCCGCCGGCCGGAGCGACAGCGAGATGTCGGCCAGCGTCTCAGGTCTGCTGAGTCTTCTCAGGGAAGGGGGCCGGGCTGAGGGGCTCGGCAACTTCGCCGAGTGGGGTGGGTCTGCTGTGAGCACCCTGCACCCTGGGGTCCGGGGGCTGGCCGAGACCCGAAGCTCTGCGCGCTAGCGCAGGCTGCTCTAACCCTCCGGAAACTCAGCCCGAGAGAGGACCGAGAAAGTCCTCAGAGCCCTGCGTCCCGGGGCGAGGCCTGAGACGTCCTGGGACAATGTACTCTAAGACCCGGCTGGGAGAGAACCATTGCACCCTGGCTTTGAGTCCATCGCCAGTACCTTCTGTCGTGTCTGTCTCCAAATCCCCAAAACCAGCCAAGAGACCTCGTGTAGTCGGTACCCCGGCCCTGGCTCAGAGAGCAGAGGCGCTCCCGGCTCCAGGTCCCAGGGCCCGGCGCTCGGCTCAAGGATAGGTATCGAGGAATACCTCCGAATGGGCCGGAGGCCGAGGATCTGCCCAGCCCGGGCTTTGGGAGCAGGGCTTGTTTAGCTTTCCCAGATCCCAGGGCCGGGAGAGCTGCACTGGGCTGAGGACCCAAGAACTGGAGGTAAACACAGCAGCCAGCTGAAGGCAGAAGGGCTTGAATTAGGTCAGCCCAGATGCAGCGGAGAAAGGGACCTCCTCCACCGCAGGCTAGCACGTCATTTGGTCAGAAAGACGCCCGTGCCTGCCCCGGTGGGGTGGACGCTGCAGTAGGCCTCACGCTGGCCCCAAGGAAATAGTATCTGCCAGAGGCCAGCGCGCTGGACCTCTCTGCTAGGGTGCTGCGTGGAGAGCGGCGAAGAGGCCTAGGAGCTGGCGTCAGTTTAGGGTCCAAGGACTGGAGGCAGGGACACCGCCCCTCTCTTTACCCCCAATCCCCAGCCCTCCTCTCATTTCCTTGCGAAGAGAGAGGGAGAAGCCCACCCAAGGCCTTCGCACAGCCTGTTGCCACAGCCTTCACATTAATTCCGGGTGGTTGGGGGCGGAAGACTCGGAATACTTCTTTCCCAGGATCCGTCCCCCCACCTTCACTTTACGTGAGGCCGACGCGTGTGTGCTGAGAATGTGTGTGTGTGTGTGTGTGTGTGTGTGTGTGTAAGCATGAGTGCGGGGAGGGGGTGAACCCAAGGAGGGAAACCGAAACGCAATCTAGACCTCAAGGGTTCAGCACCGAGAGCCGAGAAGGCTTTCGAGGATGCTCAGGTCCAGTGTCCCACGCTACTAAGGCGAGCCTGGGGCCCAGAGAGGGCAGGGAGCTGCATCTCGGCCGCACAGCATTGATACAGAGGCTGAGTCCGTTGCCGGTACGGAACAGGCCTGGATGCGGGGAGCGAGTGGGACAGGGTTGTCAGACTTGTTTCCAGGACCCGCGGCCTCTAGGCCCTCCCCACCGCTCCTGTGGGATCGAAGTATTTCCGCCCCCCACCCCCCCCGCAATTGAGGCCGGACCTCATTCCTCTGCGGCGCTGACAGTCTCTTATTTCTGTTCCCACTGGACTCCTCAGGCGACCGCAGCCCGAGGGCCGAGGACGACGGTGTTGGCCCCGGAAGCGCACGCGTGTCCGCGCTGTGCAGCGGTGCCGGCGGCGGCGGCGGCGGCGGCGGCGGTGGTAGAGGCGGCGGCGGCGGCGGCGGCGCGCCGGCGGGCGGCGCGGAGGAGGAGGAGGAGCCCGCGGCGCCCAAGCCGCGCAAGAAGCGCTCGCGGGCCGCCTTCTCCCACGCGCAAGTCTTCGAGCTGGAGCGCCGCTTCAACCACCAGCGCTACCTGTCCGGGCCGGAGCGCGCAGACCTGGCCGCGTCGCTGAAGCTCACAGAGACGCAGGTGAAGATCTGGTTCCAGAACCGTCGCTACAAGACCAAGCGTCGGCAGATGGCCGCCGACCTGCTGGCCTCGGCGCCCGCCGCCAAGAAGGTGGCGGTGAAAGTGCTGGTACGCGACGACCAGAGACAGTACCTGCCCGGAGAGGTGCTGCGGCCACCCTCGCTGCTGCCACTGCAGCCCTCCTACTATTACCCTTACTACTGCCTCCCTGGCTGGGCCCTCTCGACGTGCGCGGCCGCCGCGGGCACCCAGTGAGCCGCACTGGGGCGAGGCAGCGAATGATCCCCGCGCCCCAGCTCCGGATGGCCGCTGACGGCTGTGCAGGTTGTGCCCGGTACAGAGGCGCCCCGCCGAGGGGGCAAGTGAAGGATGAAATCCAGCCCTGGCTCTGCTCTCCAGGATGTGCGCCCTGGCAGCGGGACTGAGTCTGCCCAGAGGGGGCGCCTTTTTCTAATTTGAACAGAGGCACCCTTATGGCCTCGGGGCCCTGCTCCCCGCTCACCGGCCTGGAAGCCCTTGGACATTATTTATTACCACGACAATGTTGGATTTGGATTGTATCTGCCTGGGGATGGCGTTTCCCCGGAGCAGAAAGAACTCCTGGAAACCACATAGCCTGAATCCCCAGAATTTCAGGCCTGCCGGGAGCTTCGTGCGCTAGGCCACACTAGTTCATGGTATCCATGCTACCAATCTATGTGTATCTACATATCTATTATTTTTGGAAATTGCATTAGTAACAAAGGGGTGCAGAACCCTGGCAGCCCCAAGGAACCCCAGGCCAGGGAGTGATTTGAACCGTGAAGGGTTTAGTTTTTGGCTCTCCGTCCCACCCTTCCCGGTGTGAGAGCTCCTGCGGGGGCACCCGATTGGGTGCTGAATGTAAGGAAGGGGGTCTCCGAGCACAGGGCAGGGCAGGGGCCCGGCATCTTGCCTCTCAGAGGTCCAGGACCCGGACCAACTGGAGGCCTGGGAACTCCCAACCATGAGAGCAAACCCAGGCAGCCCTTCGCAGAAATTTTCCTTTATTTCTTTTTATTTTTTTAAAGGAGGTTAAAACTTGTAGCACTTTTCAGTTGTTTGTATTCAAATGACGGTTATTTTTGTATTCAATGTGAATACCCCTGACCAGCCTTTCCGTGGCGTCCTCCGCAGTTCTGCCGGGCCCTCTGTCTCTACCGTCCACTCTCCGCGACTCCTGCGTCCTGACCAGGAAATCTCCCATCCCTGTCCCTGCCCCTAAGACAGGTGTGTCAACCTCGCCGCTTTTCGCCTCCTTAAGGGCACTGTGCACTCACTAGAGTATTAACTTTTAAAAAAAAAATTTGTGAAGTTTGGAAGCTCTATTCGCTGTATTTTTTCCTTTAATTTATAAACTTTTAGTTTAACATGCCCTCCTGGACGCAGCGTTTTCTCTGAGCCTCTCTCCGTCTTGCTTTGGGGAAACCATTACCGTGGAACTATCTGGGCTCATTTTCCCAACCTCTTTTCAGTCCTGAGCCGAGGACGCCTCACCCCTCCCCGGAGTGGCCCTGCTGCCCACCCAGCAGGAAGGGTTTAAACCTGCGTGGCTCAGGGAATCGCGATTTCGGGGGCTTTGCAGGAGTTACAGATGAATCCCACTCACTCAGGAGCAAATTCCTAGGATTCCCTTTTTTCTCGTGGGCATTGGTTTCAGAGTCTGGGAAGCGCCCATAACTGAACCCGCAGCCAATTTCTATCCTCCACCCTAACCTGCTGACCCCTCCACCTGCCCCAATCCTTTCTGTTTTCGACTTCCCGAGCGATTCTCTAAGAGATCCTGTCTTTATTTCGTTTGGAGAATAGGCTAGCAAAAACTCTCGCTGACATTCTAAAGCGATTAGGGGGAAGGAGGCGATAATAAAGTGTCTCCCGGGGAGGGTCACCTGCGCTTTAACCTCTGCCAGGTGCAAATGGCGCTCTACCTTGTTCCAAAGCGCTTCCACTCCCTCGATGACATGGCGTCATTTGATCCTCACAAAAGCCCACTCTGGGAACAGAGAAGGGCAGAGAGAGGGTTATTCATTACCCCATTTTACAGACGAACACGCTCCGCTGGCGTTCCAAGACTCCTCCGAATGCCACGGATTCACCAGAGCAAAATGCTCACCACTACCCTCCCCTCACGCCGGTCCGGGGCGAGCAAGGAAGAGTTAATGCCACATCGCTGGCGCTGAGGCCTCCAGGCCGCGGCCGAGCCGGGAAACGCAGAAACCCGGGTCCCGGCTACTTTCAATTTCACCCGGAGCAGACGGACCGACTGGCCCTCCTCCCCGGCCTGCGACCTTTCCCAGCCTCGGGACCCCCAGGCCTCGGTGCCCCGAAGATCTCGGCCAGGCGTCTGCAGCCCTCGGGCCGGGCGGGGACGGAGAGTCGCAACAAGCTTTACAAAACAATTTCCGCTTCTGGAAACAGTGAACCGCGAAGGGAAAGGCAAAGGCCCCCGGGATATGAACGCCTCCCCAAATCCAACTACCCTCCAAATGGTTCCTGCAATCATTTTGTTTCTTTACGACATGTTTAAAATTTTCCTTTTAATTTCATAATTAATCATGAATGAATTTTCCTTGTAGAAATTTAGAACATTTTCAATAATGCTAGAACTCTTCTCTCCCTCTCTCCAGAGATCGCCGCTACTGAGGGGTTTTTTGGCTGGGCGGGGTCGATTTTTTCCCCTCTGCTGAAAATGCCAGTTATTTGCGACTGCGTCCTAAGAGGGTAGTTTGTTCTCCATCCTTGCAGATTTGGAGTCGAGAGAACTGGGGAGTTTCTTTCGAGTAGGCGGGACGGCGCCTCTTCGCTTCCTCGCCCCCTCTCCGTCTGCCCGCCTGGACCAGTTCTGCTGGGCTGGCTCGAGGCGCCCGGGAAAAATGACTCAAACGAATTCAGTTTGACCCGGTTTGTTGCAGTTTCGCTGTGAGCTGCCCCGAGGCTGGCGTCGGCACGAGCGTCTTGAGATCTGATTCCGGGAGCCAGAGGCCGCCTGCGGGTCCAGCCCAGCCTCGGAGGATTTTCCACCGCATTTCGCGACCCACGACGGGTGTCTTCACGGGGGGCCTGGGCCGCAGACGCGGCTCCTTTTGGAAATTTGCGGTATTACTTTCTTCATTTCCTTTTCCTTCTCCACTTCCACCCCCGCCCTTTTTTTAAAAGATGAGAAACAGTCAGTCCTGCTCCCTGTCCGCTGCTTCCTGGGGGAGTGGATCTTGGTCCACCCACTCCCTGCGCCCTGGGCTGCGCCATCCCTACCGATCTCCTCCGGGCCTGGTCGCCCGGAGCAGCTGCCACCCGATCCGAGTGGACTTTTGACCTCTTCATCTTTCTTAGTCCCTTTTGGTACCTAGTGAATTTCAGAGCTGGCCTTGGGGTTCGTTGGGTCCGACCCACACACTTAGATGGGCAAACTACCGTGGGAGGAATGTCTGGGAAAGGGGGCGGAACACGCTGTGACCCGCACTGAAACCAGTCCTGAGGATTCAGGCTCAGCCCACGAATCTTGCTCTGGGCAGCAAATTTGGGATCGATCGGCTGCCAAATGTCGCTGGTGTGTGTGTGTGTGTGTGTGTGTAAGAGAGAGAGAAACTCAAACCCCCAGCCTGTTGGTCTTGGCGATCCCAAGCTGCATCTCACTCCAAGCAACTAGTTTTGAGGGGCTCATGGACCCCCAGAGAGTATCTCTGAAGAGCTAGGCCAAGCAGCGGGAGTTTAGGTGTAGTTCGATTTCAGAAAATAAATGGCTTCCGGGCCGCAACTAATTCCCGCGCGCTCACCGCTCCTCCCAGCTAGCAAAGCGGAGAGGGTGACCGCGGATTTGCCTTCATCCGAGGAGGCCGGAGGAGGGCTCAACCTCGACGTCCCCGCGCCTATGAGAGGCGGTTTAGTGGGAGTCGTGTCCCGAATCCCGACAGGCTGGGCCCTGGGAGGGGTTGCGTCTGGGGGAGCGGGAAACTGGCAGGGCATGGCAGCGCCACACCGAGCATCCCACAGAGGCAGGACCTCGTTTACGGCCTACAGACGTCCGGCGGGGCGTGGGTCCCACGACTGCAACTCCCCAACTGGCCTCCGGAGCTCCTTCCCCGCCAGGCAGACACTCCACCCACGTGTTCGCCAGGAAAAGTAGAATCCGGCCTCCCTAAGTCCACGGAGCTCATCTCGCTTTACCGAAAGGCTCCTGCCTTGGGGGAAAGCTGCCGCCGACGGAGCTGAGCGGCGGGGAGAATTAGACTTTTCCCTAAAACCCGAAAACTGGCGGAAGAGCTCCTGGGTCGAAATGACGAAGAGCCGAGCGAGGCAGACCCGCACCGGGGCCCAGGCCGCTGCTGAAGGGGCTCCAAGGCTTCAGTCTGCAGGCCACCAACCTCACCCTGCTAACAATCTTAATTGGGACCCACACCGAGCTGCGTAGGAACTGCAGGACACAGCAAATGCTTGACAGCGCTTTGTAAGTCGGAAAGCGCTGAGGGCAGGTAGGGGCGCGTAGTTACACAAGTTAGTGGCCGTGGCTACTGCAGAAGCCACCGCTGCCGATCAAGGCCAGGCCTAGGGCCGCGAAGGAAGCAGGAGCAGAGGCTCCTAATCTGAGGGAGGCCCGGAGGAGCATCCAAACAATACATAACAACAACAATAATAATAACTGTAACTCCATTTGTTTGTCTGGGGTGTTACACGTGAAAAAGTGCTTCTGCGTCCTGTCCCATAAAGGTTTGCTGAGGCTGCCTTAGCCGTGTGGACACGACCTCCATTTTACAGATGGGGAAACTGAGGCTCAAAGGGGCATGTGACATGCCTGAAGTCACAGGCCACTAAGAGGTCACTTCAGGGTCTTTCAAAGCTCAGAAGCATATTTTAGGATTTGAGGGGCAGGGTACATGGTCCTTTAGAGCTGGCATCCCCCACATGTGGCTTTGGGATGGTTGGATCACAAAAGTGTGGGCGTGCTTTGAAAACCATTAAGCACTGTGCAACTGGTATGGACTACTGTTACTGTTGCCATGGTTATTATTATGAACTCCTGGGCAATGCTGAATCCGCTGATCTGAAATAGTCTTCCTCCAACTCCTGCATCTTGCAGGGGTTGCCAAGTGCCCTTGGAAGTGATGTGCTCAGTGAAGGGTCCCTCAGAAGTGTTGAGACCGTGGACCTTGGGCCAGGCTGTTTTCGAGTCTCCTGATAAATATGTTTTAAAAATGAAGAAATGCCAAAGCAGGGTTGTAAAAAAATTGTGTTATATTGCAAATGGCATCATGTAATAAATTAAGGTTTTTTTTTCTGTAGTTAAACATAGAAGTTATTCAACATAAATTGGGTTGTTCACATCATTAAAGCATTTATAAAAGATTGATTCCCAGGGCCCTGCAAGCAGGGGTGGGCCGCTGTGGGGTCCCTGTTAAGTTGAACGCTGAACTTCTTTCAGACCTGTTGGGTGTATATTAGGCTGTGCCTCCTCTGAAGGAAACGTCAAAGTTACTGCTGCAGCTTTTTGCTTTGAGGCGGGCAGGGAGAGGCAGGAGCGTGTCTTCTGGTGGACCCGGAGCTGACCCCGAATCCATGCACAGGCGAATAGCATCTCTCTGTTCCCGTTGGAATGTCAAGTTCAAAGGGAATACAAGGTAGTTGCAGGAGCGGGGCATCACCTTCCCTGGAGCCTCCATCGAGGCAAGCTCACTCCTGGGCTCAAACTTTTCCTCCATGCTTTCGTGTGTGAGCATGACACGCTCCCCCCGCCCAAGGCCCAGGCTCTCATCTGCTCTCCCTTCCTCAAGCACTCCTGTGTTCTCCCTCCGTGCCCCCGCCCACAGTCCTGGGTATGGCCCTGCTGCCCTGCTGTTAGTGCGCTGGCGGAACCAAGGGCGCGTCGCCTCTGCCCAGGCGGCACCGTCTTCAGCGAGCACCTGCATCACTCCTTACTGTTTCTGCAATTGCAACTTGAGCCTCTGGCGTGAGGATTCAGCGCAGGGGCTGCGCAGGCCTGGGGGCTTCTCGGTGAGTCCTTCCTGTCCCAGGCCCGGCCCCCTCCAGTCGTCACACTCAGGCCTCAGGGCTGGGCAGCGCTCGCTACGACTCGGTCGTGCGCCCCAGCGCTTAGCGGCTTAGCGGAATCCCGGCTCCGGAAATCTGGGATGCACCAGATGAGAGCTTCTCTCTCCAGCCTGGCACAACCAAGGGTGGGATGTGGTCAAATCGGGCTCAATGTCCCCGTAGATCCATAAAGTGAGTCTGCCTCGGGCCTGGAGTCCACGGGCAGGAAGCAGCTCTGCCACTGACTTGATGAATCTTAAGCAATTAACTTTTCTCTGGATCTCTATTAAAAAATGAAGAAAGGGAGGGAGGCAGGG